AGAGCTTGTGGTCTGCCACTGCATGAGCTCGCTAATACTATAGTCGAGAGGCATATAAATTCCTGTACGAAATGGGCAAAGGCTATAATGTCAGACCCTCTGCACCCCCTTTATTCACACCTGTCCCCTTGTATCTCATCAGGTAGGACGAGAAGTCAATATAAAAAGATATATGCTCGTACTACTAAGTATAGAAATTCTACAATACCCTATTTAGCGCGTACTTTATGTGACGAAGACTCTGTTAGACGTGAAACTTACAAGTTACTATGTAATTAGCACAGTGAATCGACCCTTTTATCGTTCATCTTTCTGTATTTTATGGTGTTACACTTTCTATCGTTTAAATCGTTACTCTGCTATTTTATATTAGTTGGTATTACTATTATTACTACAATTTTGTACTTTATACATATTTTTCTCCGTATGGCACACAGTATTTTGCTACGTAGCTGCTACAACAATCGTTTTATTACTATTATGTATTGTGTATTTTTAATTTTTTTTGTCGTTTTTGGGTAAATTAGATGCAATATTGTACTGAATGCTGAAAATTCCTTGCTGTATCATGAGTACTGTTTTTGGAATAAAGCAATTATTATCATTATTAGTATTATTATTGTGGCCGATTGCCTCCAACCATTTAACGCTAACAATTCACAGTGCACTGCATGATGACTAACCACCTAGTTGCATAGTGACTACATTAACTTACACACTGACACACATTGAACGCATATAAATTTCAACCCCCAAAAAACCGTTTTTCTCCACCGCCCCCCCCCGGCTTGACATGGAAACTCATCCATCTGAAGTTTATAATCAATCTGAATAAAACTTAATATGAATATGACTCATACGAATTTATTACCTATACATTCGTTGGCATTCATAAACATTACAATTTTACACATTACAACATACATATATTTTGGCCTATAAACAATCAAATCGTAAATAACTTTTGGAATTCTGATCTAAATAAATCGAAGTTACTATTTCAAAACCACTAATGTTGTCAATAGCAATCATTCTTTCATTAGTATGTATATAAAACTATAGAATCTGATGATGAAGTTATCGAAAAGAACATTCTTCGCTCAGTAATCAATCTTCTGAAATTTTGCATAGGCATCTTTGATCAATAATAATAATAATAATCGAAACTATTTAATATTTAATAGATAAGTATTCCTGTTTCGATCACGAACTGACTAGTCAGAAAATCGATGAAAACCAGCGGGAAGTGTTGGACAGGTTTTTCGCCCTAGTTCTGAACTTTTTCGAAGTATACACCCATAACCTTCACATGTTACGTGATGGATGATCTCGTTGACCATTTAGCCAATAGGATTGAATCTAACAACTGCGCATTAATTCTACTCGCCGATAACATTAGCTGGTCGCCGTTGTACATCATAAATTGGCAGCGAATTTAGAATCGATGTACCTTTGGATTCCGTCCGCGACCAGGGGCAGAATGATCGAAGAGCTCGCCTAGTAACCTGAATCTCCTGGGTTCGATTCCTGGAAGCAGGATCACGGATCCGTGCTGATGAAGCGTCAGTTAGTTATCTGAGTGATGATAACAATCAGTGAACTTAAAATAATCATTCAGTCTGTACTGCTGTTGCTGACATAATGCAGTCTTCTGAACACCTTGAGATGCCATTTGCGAATGTTGGAATGCGATTCGCTTACCCTGTCAGACGTGAGATGATGCTACAAGACTGCACTACATCAACTCCTAGCTTAAAGATAAAGAGTGAAGTGGTCGGAGGGTGGAGCGTGTTGATCACTTCACTTATTTGGGAAGTTGCATTAGATAACCCCACCAACTTGATCACTGACGAAATCTCAACACGGATACAGAAGGCTCGTTTCGCATAAGCCAGTTTACGCCGTCTCTGGATTAGTAGACGTGATATCCGACCAAAGGGCGTGTGTACTACTCAACAGTCCGCACCGTCCTCCTTTATGGCTATTAGTAAGACATAGTCATTCGAAGTGGAAGACATGAAAAGGCTGGCTAACTGTCTTTAATCATAGTTGTCTGCACTTTATCTCCCATGTTGGATGGTAGGATAACAGAGTGAGCAATATTGAGGTTAGGTTTCGATCGAGTGCTAGTTGAGGAGGCGAAATCAATCGATGAGGTTGTGAAGGTGAATCGATTGAGATGGTTAGAAGATGTGTTACACATGACTGCTCACTCATCATCTTGCTCGACTGACGATGTTAGCTGACATAGGATGGATGAGGTTGGAAAACAGCAAGTACATAGTGGTCAAACGAAAACATGGCTTCATCAGTCAGTGGAATCCATCACAGTCAGTTTAAGTTGGCCAGTCAGTCAGCCAGCCAGCCACGTAGGGAGGTGCAGACTTCCTAACTGACTGACTGGTTTGCGTCCTTGGGACGGTAAAAACCAATGAAGACTGGATACAATCGGTGATATGGCTCAAAATAATCCTAAGTAATGCCACAGATGCATCCACTCCTTCTGACTTATAAGATTCAATGAAACTATATTGTTCTTCCATATTACTATTCTTTTTGCTTCATATCCCTATCAACTGTCTCTATTTTGCATTTCTCTGCGATTTCTTCTTTTGTTTTGTGAGCTAGCTAAATGGAGGGAAAGTGGCGACTCGTACTGGTGTACATCGGTGCAAAGTTCTACGTTGAAATCAGTCAGTTTGTAACTTTGTGACATAGACCTATTTAACCCGCCTAGCTGAACCACACACCATTCTTTAGCAACTGCACTGACTATTACTTTATTAGATGTAAGAGAAAGGTGACAAACACTCACGTTACAATATATTAATAAGAGGCGGCCTTTTTAACGAGATCAGAGAACATCGACAATGGAAAATATACATCACATTTCTTATTGAAGCCGAATGTATGAATGACTGTATCATTTAATTAAACAAGAAAACTTTCTTTAACTAACAAAATCTTATGGTTTGTGCTGATGAGCAATTTGATTCGTTACTTTCAATCTTATGCTTGCTGATCGTATACAACTGTAGTCCATTGGCTTTAACAACCTATCTTCTTCTTAAAACGCTTTCAGCATTCAAACCTGACACAGTCGAGATTATGCGTCAGACTGTGCGTAGTTAGCAAGAAGACAGGAATCCGCTGGATCACCGCTAAGAAGATTCTAGAAGACCTGGATTTCGCAGATGATACCTGTCTAATGTCACATAAACTCGAAGGCTTACAGGCAAGTGAAAACCAACAAACTGGATGAAGAAGCACGCAGGCAACGAAGACAGGACTACATGTGAACATAGAAAAGACAGAAGTGATGAAGATGACCAGTCAACAGAAACGAAAACCAGCACCAGTCATCATCAACGCGAGAAATTTAACAGAGGTTAACTCCTTCACTTATCAATGAAGCATCGTTTCAACTACAGGCGGATAGATAGCACGGATGAAGATGTCAACACCACCAGCAAGAATCGGAAAGGCAAGATACGTCTTCATGACGCTGAAACCAGTTTGGAAATCTTCTGTACTCAGCATAGTGAACAAGATTCACATCTTCAACACCAATGTCAAATCGGTCCTTCTATACAGGTCAGAAACTTGGTGTCTCAAGAAAAGGATTTCCAACAGGCTACTGCAGACTTTTATCGACAACTGCCCTCCTTGCTGGCTCCATATACTGAAGATCAGATGGCCGGAAAGAATTAGTGACAAGAAACAGTGGGAACAAACCAACAACCAAGCACCCGATTGCTCAATAAATATGTAAGAGAAAATGGAGATGGAGTGGGCATACGTTGAGAAGGCCGTCTAATGACATCGCGCTCAATGCAGGTCATTGCTCGAGTGGAATCCTAATGGAAAGCGACGGATGGGTGGTCAGTGTGAGGGTGACATGGAGAAGATCGTGTTTCGATTTGTAGGATATGAGAGATTATGGTCAATCGTGGACACAGCTGAAGAGGATGGCAGAAAAAAGTGGGAAATTTTTCCACCCAGAATCCGAGGGAACAATAAATAAATAAATAAACTCCATAGTATTGTAAACACCCTTCACCATTAAGTGTTGCTTAGAGACCTCCATATATAGGGCGTGTATTCAGGAATTCCACTGCATAAATAACCGGAAGTGACTGCTAAGAGAGCTTATCTTTATCTAGTCATCGGTACAGTTTGTTAGACGCTGAAAAGATTAGTTGTCTTTGATCATAGGTGCCTGTGTTCTATCTCCCGTGTGAAGTGGTATAATAAGGTGAGCGATATTGAGGTTAGGCGTCGTGTGCTAGGTAAGGAGGGGAAATCAACCGACAAGGCTGTGAAATTACATCGACTGAGATGGTTAGGACATGTGCTACGTACACCTAGTCATTATCTTCCTTGACGAGCAATGTCAGCTGACATAGGGTCAGGTTGGAAAAGAGCCAGTGGTGGTCAAATCAAAACATGGCTTCATCAGTCAATGAAATCCACAACAGTTTGTTTAAGCCAATCAGACATGTAAAGAGGTGTAGACTTCCTGACTGATTGGGGTCTTCGGGACAGTAATCACCGATGGCTAGAGACAATTGGTGATATGGCTCAAAATCGTTCTCAATGGCGTAGATGCATCCATTCCTTGTGAATTATGATTTCCAATGAAACTGTTCTGTTCTTCGTTATTACTATTCCTTTGTCTCGCACCTCTGTTTACTGTCTCTATTATGCATTTCTTCTACTTTCTTCTCTTGCTTTGTGTGCTACAAGGAGGGAGTGTGGCAACTCGAACTGTCGCCCATCGGTGCAAAGTTCTATGTCGAAAACAGACAGACGCTGAATATCATATCATATGATCTACATAAACGTTATTTGACACCACAGCTTTAACAAAACAGTGACTGAATCACTTTACTGACTGTAACATATTACCAAATATCAGCAGGTGCATATATATATATATATATACTGCTAACAATACTAGTAATATATATTCGGTGAAAAAGATAAAAGTGAACACTCACAACGAATATTCTGTATACATCCATGCGTGTAAGCGATGATGATGCCCAACAGAGATCAAAATCTGATAGCGAAGAGTTCTTTGAATTGTTTAAAGAACTAAAAAATATAAGCAGAAAATATGTTAATTTGGTTACAAATCATTAATAGTGTTTGTAATTCGTTATAATTATAATATATAAAGTGCGTCGATGGTGGTACAGCAGTAGAATGCTCGCCAGCTACGCGCGTCATTTGGTCCGGGTTTCGATTCCTGGCCACTAGACGCACTCCTTTACCTCGCTAAGCCAGTAATAAATAAGACTGGTAAAGAGGGAAGGTAGGTTAGGCATGAAGCTAGCAAATCCACATCCCGTAAAAATAAACAAGCACTACTGCTGAGGAAACTTCAAGCCTCTCTAGCTTCAAGTCCTATGTTCCACTGGGAACGTAAAGGAATAAAATAAATATTATAATAATAACAATATATAAAATCACTTCTACCTATTCAATTCCTCACCTAATTTTTTTATAATTTAGGTTTTCAGACAACTTTATACTATTATTAAGCCAGTAGAGAGTACAGTTACTTTTCCAGAGTTGATAAGAGGTAGCGATTAAAAGAAACATGGGGTAACCAATCGGGAGTAATTTAAAAAAGCGAAAGAACTGAAATAACTAACTAACCAAATAACAAGGATTGGGGAGAATAATTATTTTTATCAGTAATAAGAGATAAATACGATCAGTTTAGTTATGTTTCGAAATAACTGAGGGACAAAATCTTATGCTTGTAAGTGAACAGCAGTATGTTTGGTAAAAACTTTATATACAGATACATAACAAAATTAGCATATAAAGAGTTGGAAATATCTTTGATAGATTCTTGATCTCATTGCCATATTAATCAATCTGTATAAATAAAATAAAAAAATTTTTAAAAATTCTATACGGATCAGAAACTTGGCGGGTTACAAAGAATATTTCCAACAGCCTGTTTCAGACCATCATCAACAACTGTCTTCGCTGGATCTATACTGAAGATCAGATGGCTGGGCCGGAAAGAATCACCAACAAGAAACTATGGGAACAGACAAAACAAGAACCAATCGCCCAACAAATATGCAGGAGAAAGTGGTGATGGATTGGACACTCGCTGAGAAGGCCGCTGGGTGACATCGTACGCACGTCAGGCCATTGCTCGAGTGCAGCCCGAAAAGGGAAGCGACGAGTGAGTCGTCAGTGCAAGGTTGACATGGAGGAGATCGTGTGAAGAGGAGTTGAAACAGTATGGACTAACATGGATGCAGGTGAAAAGTACAGCAAAAGATAGAAGCTGTCTGTCTGTTTTCGACATAGAACTTTGCACAAATGTGCGGAAGTTCAAGTCGCCACATTCCGTGTAGCACGCGAAGCAAGAGAAGAAAGTACAAGAAAAGCATAATAGAAACAGTGAGCAAAGGTGTGAGACAAAGGAGTAATAAAGAAATACAAAACAGTTTCATTGAAGATCATAAGTCACAGGGAGTGGATGCATCTGCGCTAGCCACTGAGAACGATTTTGAGTCATGCCACCAATTGTTTCCAACCTTCGGTTTTTACCGTCCCGAGGACCCCAACCAGTCATGAAGTCTACACCTTCCTACGTGGCTTAGACCAACTGTTGTGGATTTCATTGACTGATGCCAAGTTTTTGTTTGACCGCCGCTAGCTTTTTTCCAGCCTGACCCTATATCCGCTAACATTGCTCGTCGAGGGAGGCGATGGCTTGGCATACGTAACACATGTCCTAACCATCTCAGTCTTTGTAGCTTCACGACTTCGTCGATTGATTTCCCCTCCTTACCTAGAACTCTACGCCTAACCTCAATGTTGCTCACCTTATTATGCCACTTTACACGGGAAATAGAACGCAGGCACCTATGATCAAAGACAGCTAGTCTTTTCATGTCTTCCAAGTGGAGGCGTGCAGTTGAAGCCCTATGTTCCACTAGGAACACCCAAGGGAATAATAATATAAATAAAACATTTTCAGGTAAAGTAATTTTTGAAGTATATATACTTGTTATAAAAAAATTTACAACCAATGCAATAAATAGTAAGTTACGCCAAGCAACAGAAATACAGTAAGTTGATATTGACAACTACACACAGACAGCACCATTTCAGACACAGGTGTCACGGATAAGGACATAAACGGTAAGTTCTTGAAAGTGAAGCAGGTCTTCATTAATCTGCTACACTAAGCATAAGCAACAAGATTTCCATTTTCAAAACCTATGTCAAATCAGTCAATGCTTCCCTATCGTGCGCAGACTTGGCACACGCTAGTCAACAAAACAATTTCCAACAAGCTGTTGAGGACTTCGATCAACACCTGGCGTCGCTGGCTCCATATTGAAGATCGAGAAACTAGAAATGTTTAGCAACAATGAACTCTGCCAAAGAACCTACTGTCCAACAAATATAAAAAAATTAAATGCGAATGAATCGGTTGTGATCTGAGAAGATCATTAAGTGACCTGACGTGTCAAGCCACCTCTCCAGTGGAAGTGGATAGGAAATCGACAAGTTGACTGACATTGGTGAATATCGTGTGAGAAGGAAATGAAAGTTAAATATATGCGTGTAAAACTTTGGCAATGTGGCAGTAAGTAATTCCATATCAGTTTGTTTATTAGATGTATCACACACAGTGATGAAACAGGATTACTTACTGGATGACAAGGTTTCGAACAAAATTTATTTATTGTTCATAATCACATCTTCATTTATAATCACACGACTTCCAAACTTCAGTTCTATAGTTTTCTTTGTTTCCTCCTATTTGTCGTAGTAGGGGTAGTAGAATTTTCCAGATATCCGTCTGGGACAGGTGTTGAATCATTCGATAAACTAGGCTTCTGTTATCAATCTCTCCCTTCGTTCTGTGACATAAAAGCCTAACAAAATCTAGATTAGTTGACCCGAATAAGATAAGAAATCTGGAGAATAGTTCAGCTATAGCACTACACCACAAGCAATTACACACAACCATACCAATAGGCTGGATGGGATAGGATGACAGTTTTAAAATCTAATGTAACAACAGGGTGGAGGGAGAGATTGATAACAAAAGGTTTACTTATCGAATCAACTGCAAACACGTGTAATAGGAATGATTCAACACCTGTCCCAGACAGATATCTGGAAAATTCTGCTACCCCAACCACGACAAATAGGAGAAAACAAAGAAAACTATAAAACTCAAGTTTCGAAGTCGTGTGGTTATAATTGAAGATATGATAATGAACAATAAATAAATTTTGTTCGAAACTTCGTCATCCAGGAAATAATACTGCTTCTCTGACTGTGTGATACATCTAATAAACAAACTAATATGAAATGAAAGTTTATGCATAGTCGTAAAGGTAGTTATGAAGACTTCAGGGAACAGACTGAAATGGAGATGTAGTGCAGAAATCCTGTATCCCACCCACTGAGAAAACAAGGGAATAATAAACAATAGTCGAGTGCTATTGACAACAGACTCGAATTGACATCAGTTAGACTGAATCGATCAAACGCTAGTCTTAGCAGGGGCAGTTGAAACACACAATGAGATGTCTGTCGGTTCAATAATCAATCAAGATCCTCCGATGTTTAAATCTTATTTACACTATCTATTCGTCAGTTATCATCGGATTAATTTAACACTAACGTTCGAAAGACTCGATGGAAAGCGATAGATAACTTTGAAAGCACTATTTTTGTCCACTTGGTGACCGATGTGATCAATCAAATGAGCCAAAATAGAACTTCGTATGGATTTTATTTGACCCTTTCCGAACCATGAAGGAAGATGTTCATTAATGCGTTCGTTAAGCTGTCTAGATGTTCGGCCTATATAGCTTTCTCCACAGGAGCAACTAAATTTATAGATACACGTGGAAGTGGCAATATTTTGTTATCATTATAATCATCGTTATTAATTTCGTTCAAAACATTTACCACATTATTATTATTTGATCCACAAAATCACCGTCATTAGTTAACAATATTTTATATATAAATCTATGTAAATTAGAGTAAAGCCTGAAGAAGATCTAATCGAAAACAACAATATTGTTCGCTTATATGTCTTGTTCTAATATTATAAATGGGAATATTTAAAGATTTGAAACAAAATAATTTCCAACAAGCTGTTAAGGACTTCGATCAAAACCTGGCTCTCTATAGAAGATCCGGAAACTAGAAAGGTCTAACAACCATGAAGTCTGCCAAATAACCAACCAAGAACCTACTACCCAACAGATATAAAGAATTAAATGCAGATGAATTAGTTGTCCTCTGAGAATACCACTAAGTAACCTGACGTGTCAGGCTATCGCTCCAGTGGAACTGGAATGTAAAGTAACGAGTTAGCTGACATTGGTGAATATCGTGTGAGATGGAAATGAAAGTTTATGGATAGTCGTAAAGGTAGTTATGAAGACTTCAGGGAACAGACTGAAATGGAGATGTAGTGCAGAAATCCTGTATCCCACCCACTGAGAAAACAAGAGAATAATGCATAATACTCGAGTGCTACTGACAGCAGAAGCGAATTGACATCAGTTAGACTGAATCGATCAAACGCTAGTCTTAGCAGGGGCAGTTGAAACACACAATGAGATGTCTGTCGGTTCAATAATCAATCAAGATCCTCCGATGTTTAAATCTTATTTACACTATCTATTCGTCAGTTATCATCGGATTAATTTAACACTAACGTTCGAAAGACTCGATGGAAAGCGATAGATAACTTTGAAAGCACTATTTTTGTCCACTTGGTGACCGATGTGATCAATCAAATGAGCCAAAATAGAACTTCGTATGGATTTTATTTGACCCTTTCCGAACCATGAAGGAAGATGTTCATTAATGCGTTCGTTAAGCTGTCTAGATGTTCGGCCTATATAGCTTTCTCCACAGGAGCAACTAAATTTATAGATACACGTGGAAGTGGCAATATTTTGTTATCATTATAATCATCGTTATTAATTTCGTTCAAAACATTTACCACATTATTATTATTTGATCCACAAAATCACCGTCATTAGTTAACAATATTTTATATATAAATCTATGTAAATTAGAGT